GCACTTATTTGAACGGCACTTTGACATTTTTTTTTTAATCCGCGCTAACAAAGTTTGCGGGCAATAGCTCGTTATAATCAAACATAGTGTTTTTAGTTAAGTATTTGCGATGTGTTTTTAGTTTTCCACTATCTGTAAACGAAGTGAAAGTGAGTAAATGTATTCCTTGTGTCAGATGGAAGTAATTATATTCCGTGCGTCAGGTGAAGGTGAGCAAGTGCCGGTACGCGGTGTGGAACGCGGACATGTCGGTGGTGGCGCTGCTGGGCAAGCACTCGGTGACGCTGTGCTCGCGCCGCATGCAGCAGCTGTGCGCGGTGACGGAGGGCGCGCGCGTCAAGTCCGGCGCCTTCGACGACTCCGCGCCGCAGCCCGTCTTCATATACACCACGGCCAATCATATCAAATACTGCTGTAAGGATGGGTGAGTCATACAAACACTAGCTTTCAACTGCGACTCCGTCCGCAACAAATTATAAAAACTTTATCTTATTGTTTACATTTGTCTTTCAATTGCATATGACAAAATTGGTGTTTAAGTTGGCATTTGTTTAAGAAAGTAGTTAAATAAGTGAGTTTTGTTAGTTTTAGACTTATGGGGCGTTACGTCGCATAACGACGAGTCCCGTGTAAAATTAAATTTAAAAAAATGTCAAAATTCAAATGCACATATGATAACGAAGGCCTTTGACATTGGATAACAATTACCTTTGTTATAGCAACATTCATTTCTTAATGTTGACAGTTTGTAGTTTATAGTCCCTTTCCCTTATGTTTTTTTCCAATTTATAGCCTAAAGAGTGTCCTAAATATAGGGATTTTTATTAAAGAGAGAATTATTCAAAAACATGCTGTGATTGCTGACATCCTATGCCCCAAAGTATTATGTGTTTACGCTTTATTATATTAGTATATATAGATAAATAATGAAACTAAAGATTATAGATAATATACTTAAGGTGTAAATAAATTGGAAAAAATCTTCATGTGCGAAAGGGACCATAAACTACAAGCTGCCAACATCAAGGAAGAAGATTGCCATGGTTATCATTTGTACAATTGAATTTTGACATTTAAAATTGAGAATTTGATAAATGTAAACGAGGAAATAAAGTTTTCTTTTATGCGCATGCACGGAACAGTTAATATTAGTACAAAGATATGGTAATATTTATTGTATATATGTATATGCAGTGACTACGGCATCATCCGCACGCTGGACGTGCCGGTGTACATAGTGAAGGTGTTGTCGGGCGAGGGCGGCGCGCGCGTCGTCTGCCTCGACCGCGAGTGCCGCCCCAAGGTGCTCAGCATCGACCCCACAGAGTACAGGTATAACACCATTCACATATCTCACACGCTCCGTACTGTTAACCCAAATGCATCATGATGCATTTATTCAGTCTTTTCTTCCTAACCCAATAGACTATTTTGAAAAAACATTTTTTAATCAATGTGCAGTTTACTATCCGTTTGAATTTATGGTATTTAAAAAGAAAATCGTGCATTCAAGGGTTTAGAGTGGATATCAAAATAATAAAAAAACTCAAAATCAATACTACAATACAATTAGAAATACAAAAAAGGACACAAAGTAAATACTAGTTCGATTTGACAAACGAGCAAGCCACCTGAATCTGCAAAAATTGGCAAGAGATTGCTGCCCATAGACATCTATGGGCGGAAAAGACATATTTCCCCATCCTATGTCTCTGTCAAATCCATGCTTTTTCGCATGCGAGAACCGTTGTCTTTAACCGTTAGAACCTGTTTAACGATATTTCTTACTTTTCTTTAATACGTATTGTCGTTAACTGAGCCTCGTTGATACTAGAATGTATAAAATGTATGGATATTGCAGGTTCAAGTTGGCACTGATAACGCAGCAGTACGACCAGGTGCTGCACATGGTGCGCACAGCCAAGCTCGTCGGACAGAGCATCATCGCGTATCTGCAAGATAAGGGTATCATTGACTTTTATACTGCACTAGCTATCGCCCGCGACCTCGTCTGCGAGAAAATACAAGTAGCCTTTGCTTTTCCAGGCTATCTTCTATATCTATGCCAAATTTCATCAATATCCGTTCAGCAGTTTAGATTACTATAAGAAACATCCAATTATTTCCGGAACGAAACTGATTTAAACGGACTTTTATTGAAATACTAACTTTTGCCTGCGATTCCATCCGCGTACAATTAAAAAAAAAATTTGAGTCGCCTATGTGTTCGCCTCTACATTTAAATGAAATTTTATTTAAATTCGTTCAGCTGTTTAGGCTACAAACAAACATCCATCCATTCAATCTAAAGTTTTTTTCCCACTTGTAGTATGATTTTTTTTCTTTCTCCACTGACAAATACTAAAAAATCCGTTTATCAGGTTACCCCGAGGTGGCACTCCACTTCGTGAAGGAGCCCCGCACGCGGCTGTCGCTGGCGCTGCAGTGCGGCAACATCGAGGTAGCACTGGAGGCCGCCAAGAGTCTTGATGAGCCTGACTCCTGGGACAAACTGGCGAAAGCAGCACTCGCTATTGGCAACCATCAGGTACATAAGTATAAACACAATCAAATATCTTACCCGCTCGGAATACGAACTGCGCCGAATAAATTTAAGGTATAAAATAAAAAGTCCTTATGGGTTTCTAGTAAGATTGACGCGTTCTTGTGTATCTGCACAATATCGCAGATAGAGATAGAGATAAAAATATCATTTTTAAGCTATCTGGGCCTCTATCAGCCAGTGGTAAGACAGGCCCTAAAGCTCCAGTTACAATATTTTGTATGTGTAGTATTTAAAGACTTAAGTAATAAAATTCCTTTTTTCCCCTCAGATCGTAGAGATGTGTTACCAGCGTACAAAGAACTTCGACAAGCTGACGTTCCTATACTTGGTGACGGGCAACATAGAGAAGTTGTGCAAAATGATGAAGATAGCTGAGATCCGTAAAGACGCCTCCGCGCAGTTCCAGTGCGCCATGCTGCTCGGTGACGTGCCGGAGAGGATCCGACTGCTCAAAGCCTCAGGACAGGTAAATCATTCACTTATTCATTCACATTATAACATAATATATTCATGCATGCAATCACTTAGTCATTTACTTAATCTTTCATTCCTCAAGCAGTTACTAAATCTCTCAGTCTCTTTTTTAATATACTTCCGCAATAACCATTATCATTCATTCGCTCATTTACTTAGCGAATATTTAGTCTCATTCACGTAATGACTCGTATATTAAATCATTTCCATACGAAAACTCTTAGTTAATCATATACTATGCGAAACACTTCCTTAAACACTCATTCATTAAATCATTCACACTCGGAATCTCTGGATCAAATTTCCAGAATACTTCATTCAATCATCTAATCACGCGTACCAATCTACCCAATTTATCGTTCATGCAGTCTTACACAGTCACTCATATACACATCACAGTCTACACAATGGGGATGTTTCCTAATGTTAGAAATCCAAATAAAGTTATGTTTAATATTTTAAAGACAGCATTTTATAACCTATAATAACATTTAGAGACCTTGAATGTTTGTCTCAAATTAAATATAAATTAAAAACGCTGCAATATTTTTTACCCTCCATTACTCGATCTCAAACACCAATGACGTCACTTTCTTGCATATAACATGGCAGTGTGACCAACTTCAGTGAATGTCAGTGCATTTTGTAGTTATATTTTTTTCTAAATGATTGTAATAATTGAGTTTGCGTGTTTTATATTATGAGGACTCCATTATTGAGTGTTTTTATAATTACGACATAAGTTATGAGCAAAACATTTTATGAATATTACAAAAGAAAAATATATCAAAATTCATAAGAGTAGCTTATAGTACAATTTAATTTATACCTGGTCACACTGGTGTAGGACGCAGTCACTGTTTACACACAAACATAATCTTCCACGAGAAGCAACAAGTGTAATTAATACGTTAAAAGTATCACCTTCTGTTCATTTTGGTTTTTTCATTTTTACCTCCATTACTAAAAACAACTTTAGACAACAAAGATTTACGAGTATTATCAATCAATGGTTCTTTCAAATTGACAGTGACAGGCCGTGACGCGAGGTTCGTATGCAAAGAAGTGACGTCATGGGACGTTTTGGGGGGAAATGAAAGAGTTGTTTTTATTTACGTGTTTTTTTATTGAAATAATGAGTATTATATTTTATACTATTTTTTTTCGTGTTCATACATGGTTTATCTACAAAATAAAGGCTATTCCAAAAATTAGGAAACATCCCCATTATTTACTCATGCAATCATTCAGTCATTCATTCGGAGTGTTATGTGCAGACGACACTGGCGTACCTGACGGCAGTGAACCACGACCAGGTGGAGGAGGCGGAGCAGCTGCGCGCGGCGCTGCAGGCGGCCGGTATGGCGGTGCCGGAGCGCAACCCCGACGCGCAGTACATCTGCCCGCCGCTGCCCGTGCTCGAGGAGCAGTCCAACTGGCCGCTGCTCGCTGGATCTAAGTAATACCACTAGCTGTTAAAAAAAATATTCCCCCCCCCCCACCCTATTTTACTCACTGATAACGTAGCTTTTTAATGGCAGTATTTTTAAAATCGGTCCATTAGTTTTTGAATTATTTCAATATATACAAAAATATAAATTTGCCCTTTTTATAATATTAGTATAGACTAACTTTCGCCAGCGACACCGCTTATACTATATGGCTTTATATTGCACCCTTTTTTTCATATTTGATGATTAAAATTTATTATCACAGGAGCGTGTTCGAGACTGGCGGTGATGGTGATGTGGTGGCGGCCGAGGTGGGTGATGAGCCGCTAGAGGCCGCTGGCGCCTGGGGCGATGATGATGAAGATATTTTACTTGATAATAAGGTAACAGTTTTTATAAGTGTAATCTACGGGAAACCACACGGTCTACCACGTGGCTATAACCACCATTATACGGTTTTGATTGTAGTAACTTTTTTCAAAATTACAGCTATTCTATTTATTTAATACATTGGAGACGAAATATGCAGCTAACATATATTTTTTGAACTTTTAAATGAAAACGATAATCCAGATTTATGGCCAGATTTGGAATGCCAAATGCCAGAATTTGGTCACATTTTTTTCAAAATTAAAACTATCCAGTAGTTGTGTTTTTTTAAATGAGCATTCCTAAAGCTGGAAACAAACGCTCCAATTTAAAAAAAAACTCGTTTATGTAACAGATTTTGAATTTTAAAGAGTAAACATGATAGACAGGTAGTTGAAAAAATGCGTAACAATGTTTTATTAATTGTAAACTCTTTTAGTGGTATTTTCTATGTTTTTTACATGTAATTGTGCAGGCGGAGGGTGAGGGCGAAGGCGTGGGCGAGGAGGGCATGGAGGACGCGTGTGATGATGGCGGCTGGGACGTCGGGGATGACGACCTCGAGCTGCCTGAAGTACTCGCTCCTGTCTCCGGTTAGTCACATCACAAGATATCATCATCACCTTGCCCTTATCCCTTATAGAGGGTCGGCACAGTATGTGCTGCTCCATACATCTCCATCAGCCGTCATATCTGAATCCACTTTCTTAAGCATATCCTCTGCAACACAATCCATACATACTTTCTTCGGTCTAAGTTACTCATTATATTGAAACAATCTTTTTATTAAAACTCATAAGCTTGTTACCCTCCCCCCGTCAGAGTATACAAAAAAGGGGTCGTGGATATCAAGATTTATCTCTTTCACACAATCCATCCATACTTTCTTCAGTCTTCCTCTACCTTTGTAGCCACATTCAATTCTCTTAATTACTATTATTGCCTTGAAAGAAATTTCAACGGCCCCTCTTAAGGGTATTTTGGGGAGAGGGTACAAACAGGGTAAGACAGTAAATTCCAGTTCTGGGGCGCTCTTACTTTCCGCCGGCCTTATATATAAAAGCTTTTTGAATCCGACCACAAAGAAAAAGGCATGTGTTGGTAGCAACTATCAAAATTTACTCGTGAAATTAAAAGATGCAATACACTCAGTAATAAATCTATTTATAGGTGAAAGAATTTTTTAAATCAGCCCAAGTTTTTGAGTTATTTCAATGCATACAAAAATACAAGTGTTTCCTCTTTATATACATACTAACCATTCCCGTGCGACTTCATCCGTATAAAATTATAAAATTTTTATTTTATTGTTTACATGTGTTAAATTATCAATTGCAAATGTCAAATTGACATAACATGATGATAACCTTGCTTCCTTGATGTTGGCAGCAACTTATGTTCTCTTTCCCATATAGGGTTTTTATTCAAAGTATTTACCCCTAAGTTTAATGGCGTGAAATATAGCCTAAAGCTTGACGTAAGTGTAGGGCTTTTTATTAAAGGAAGAATTATTAAAAAAAATGCTGTGATTGCTGACATCTCACGCCACAAAGTAGTGTGTGTTTACGCTTTATTATATTAGTATAGATAACAGCTTTCTTCATAATAAAATTATTAATTCAGTTTTATACTTTCATAAAAAAACGGCAATTTATATCACATCTGTTATTATACTATTAATTAGTTCTAACTGTAGACAGCCGATTTCATATTTAAACGATTTTTTTATGCCTCGAGCTATTTCAGAAACATGCTGTGATTGCTATGTTAGGCAACAAAGAAGTGTGTTTACGCTTTATTATAATAGTATATGTGTGTTTCAGCGGACATCGAGGGCGGTGCGGAGGAGACGTCGTACTTCGCGGCGCCGAGCCGCGGCGCGGGCGCGGCGCTGGCCAAGCTGCGCACGGCCCACGACCACGTCACTGTCGGACAGTTTGAAGTCGCCTTCAGGTATTTATATTCAGATACTGAAAATTTCATTGTTCCTCCCATATAGAACCTTAAATCCTTACATTTGTGTAATTATTATACATAAATTTACATAATCACACATATATACATTAGCGCATAAATACCTACGAAATCACACACACACACACTAACACACTCATACATAGTAATATTTGAATTCACAAACAACCTTTTTTATTGTAAATTTGCTTAGATTTATATTAGTGTTCTAAAAAAAAAAAGTAGCACTAAGACGGAAGAACCCTGGCTCCTACAATACGGGCCTAGAGCCTAGTGTAGGAACCAGGCGATCGACCACAATTGTATTAAAAGAAATTTTGTAACTTTATAAATAAATCTTTTTAAATCTTTAAATTTATTATATCATAAAGTGGCAAACAAGTAAGCGGCCACCTGAATCCGCCGAAATGTCGAAGCCACCGCTGCCCAGACATCCGCAATAAGGAATATGCATGTATTTTTTTTAAAAAGATTCTACTTGTTATAAAATAACCAGAAAAAAAATTGACGCCAAAATATTCAACTATTGAGCAAAATTTGGCGTCATATGCATATTGCCTTTGACGAAGTTTTGTGGAAGACGTTATATATTTTATACGCTATTAATTAAGCTTTTGTCCTCAAACGATTTCACAGGCTTTCGTCCGTGATTAAAAAAACAAAAGTTTGTAGCTTACATGTTTTTAAAGATTATTATCTACAACTATGCGAAATTTCATAGATATCTATTCAACAGTTTAGGCTACAAACTCTATATCCATCCATTTATCCATCCATGCATCTAAATTTTTACATTTATAATACAGTAGAACCGATAAGTTAAAGTCCAAGGGAAACACAAAATACTTTAAGTTATAGAGGTTTTAAGTTATCAAGGGTCTATATTGTAGAGATTTTGGGCTCTGATGGGAAGGGAACATTATTTTTTGAAGTTACAGAGGTTTTTAAGGTATCGGGGTTCTATTGTGTTACTTTTATACCAGGTTACTGAACGAGCAAGTGGGCGTGGTGAACTTCGAGCCGTACAGCGAGGTGTTCGTGCGCATGTTCGCGTGCGGGCGCGCGATGTTCGGCGCGCTGGCCAGCCTGCCGCCGCTGCACGCGCACCTGCATCGCAACTGGAAGGAAGCCAGCGGCGCAGACCTCATGCCAGTCATCAGTACGCACACATCCATTACTTAATTCTACCCCTATTATATCCACATATAGTTAAATGCAATATGTTGTCTCCCAATATACTTCCTACTATCTGTCCCCTATCTATTATTTATAAGTAATTGTGTTCAACTTACCCTTGTCCCTACAAAGGGTTGGCTATGTATTCTTCTATACATCTGTATCACCCCATATCTCAATTCAATCACTTGTTAAGCATATCCTCTATCACACAATCGATAGTCTTTGGTCTTCCTCTATCTTTATAGCCATTCATGTTCAATTGTCTTAATTATCATATTTATTCTATTCTATAAGCAGTAATACTTGATCATTATTACCTTGTGCGAAATTTCTACCCCGCTTATTTTAACACTTTAGGGGAGTGGTATAAACAGAATAAGACTGTAACATCTCTTTGGGGCGCCCTTTACTGGCCGACCCTCTTTATAAAGCTATTAGCTTTCGCACGCGACACCATCAGTGGAATTAAAAAAAATCAAAAGTGAGTAGCCTATTGTTCTTCTAGACTATCCTCTACATCTGTACCAAATTTCATCGAAATGTGTCAAGCCGTTTAGGCTACATACTCTAACAATCATCCATCCATCTAAACTTTTGCCATTTAAAATGTTAGTATGATTTTAAAACTATTTGTAAATCATATAATGGCTATTTGAAAACTAAAAAACCTATATTGATAGCAATTATCAATATATTTACTAAGATATCCATAGAATAACATTTAAATATTTACCATCAGCAACTTTATTCTCGGTTATCTTTAACAAAGTATAATTGTTACAGCGATGAAGCTGAACGAGCTGGTGTCGCAGCTGCAGCAGTGCTACCAGCTGACGACGGCGGGCAAGTTCTCGGAGGCGACGGAGAAGCTGCGCGGCGTGGCGCAGGCCGTGCCGCTGCTGCACGTCGCCGGCAAGCAGGAGCTGGCGGAGGCGCAGCAGCTGCTCGCCATCGCCCGCGAGTACCTGCTCGGCCTGCACATGGAGACCGCCAGGAAAGGTACGCGACATCATCATAACGGATTATTCCTAACCGCCCCCCGACCGCTCAGTCCCCATGTAGAGACAGATGAGAGTAAAAAGTTTCATCCGTCCCACCTTTTAGTCCCATCATCACCAATAAAGTGACTGTTGGAACCGTTATAAAATAAAATTTAGTTCTAACTGTCCCCTTATCGCAAAAGGTGGGACGGATGAAAATTTTACTCTCACCTGTCTCCACGTGGGGACACAGCTGGGTGACGGTTGGGAATTATACATCATAACAGTGCACTGTCATCACAAATGCACAAGTACAAGAAATATTACACAATGAAACACACCACACTATAAAATATAACAAAGACTTATCGAAACTCAACAATCGCAATACAACATAACACTAAGCTCAACGCATATCACACCATAAAACAACACAACTGTTACAACGCATCAAACACAACATTGTTTTCAACACAAGCTCATAAAGCACAAAAATTATTACACAACATCTAAATTCTTACAACACACCATTCCACAGAACGCAGTGCAATAAATTAATGAATGCGACGCAGTATTGCACAAAAAAGCACTAAACTAAACCATACAACACTAAACTCTAACAACGAATCGCACAACTCTGACATAAAACTCAGTCATGTGTATTTTAGTCCTTACTGATATTATAAATGCCTTTTTAATATTATAAATGGAATGTGATGAACAAATCTCGATTAAATTTGACGTAGATGTAAAAGATAGTCTGAAAAAACATAGTCTACTTACTTGTTTTCAATTCCACGCGGACGAAGTCGCGAGCGAAAGCAATCTTTACAAGTTTACTTATATTGCAATTGCAGCGATGCCGAAATCTACAATAGAAGAACAGAAGCGCACGTGCGAGATGGCCGCGTACTT